AGTACCTTGGCGAGGATCTTGTAGGGAGCATTGAGGATTGATATCGGGCGCCAATTCCTGACATCCTCGCGGGCACCCTTCTTATAGATCAGCACCACAAAGGCATCTGCAAAGCCTTCCGGGAGATGTCCCGCGTGCAAGGCCTCATTGAAGGCCCGCGTGAGGAGTGGACCAAAGAAATGATTCTGTGCCTTATACATTTCAATAGGGACTCCATCCACCCCCGGCGCCTTGAGTCTTGGTAGCTCTCCAATCGCCCTAAGGACCTCTTCTTTCGTGATGTCCATCTCCAAAGGCTGCGCCTGCTCCTTAGTGAGGCCAGGCGGGACGTGCCTCCAAATGTGCTCCTGCGGGGCCGTCGCCATCTGCTCCACAGTCCATCCCTCCTCCTCCGTAAACAGATCTGCACAGAAGTCTGTTACACAGTCCAAGATCCCCAACGTAGTCTCTTGCCTCGCCTGCCGCCGGTCAAAAGGGGGGTCCATTGCCGTCATGAGGGCAATCCCCTGCTTCTTTCCCAGCTCTCTGAAAATTCGTCGAGACATCTTCTCACCCACCACAGTCCATCCCACCTTTGATCTGCGCCCCCAGCGGGCGGTTTCCACCGTCTCCCACTCTTGCCACTCCCGCACGGCCTCCACTCGTTCCAGCCACCATTCCTCTTTCGTTTGCTCGTCCTTGGGGCCACAATTAAGCGCACTGAGGCGGTCGGCGTACTCCTGTCCTGTGGCCAAGTGGGCACGGTAGCTACCGGCCAGCCTATCATGCAGACACCTGYGCATCAGAGCATTGCCCTGCGCCACCCATCCCAACTCATCCATTCCTTGGGGGCGTCGCGGCAGCCAATTATCCCAATGTTGTTGAATCAGAGGTTTATACTCTTCGTCCTGAAAGACCCATGCGGGAAGGGACGGTTGTGGATGACCCACCATAATGAACCCCACCTGAAAGTTGGTTGCGACCTTTACATGGTCTGACAACGCTGTTGGAAGGTAAGCAATCTCGCTGCCGCACCTGAAGATCGAACTCGAGGCCCACACCATGTCAATTCGGCTCCTTCGGTTTGCCGATCCATACTAGGTGAACTCCCGTCCCGCAGGGAAGGCCGTGCGGTAAACGTCCACACAGTCCAATTCTGCCATAAACAACTGCAGCGCCTCTGCATCTGCCGTGGGCGGGCGTTCCTGGAGGGAATCCAGCCCCGGGTGGATAGTGGTGTTGAAATCCCCAGCAAACACATAGCATTCAACTTCGGGGATTTGGGTTCTGAACTCCGCCCAAAGGTCGGTCCGCGCGCGGGGATCCGAGGGTCCATACACCGACACCACACACCAGCGGGTCCGCCCCCACTGTAGCATCACCCAGGCCCATCGCCCYTGTCTGTCCCAGTTCCAGTCCACCAGCTCCCCTCAAAAATGGGGGGATATCAGAATAGCCACGCCCCCCTCCGTTCCTCTATCAGTTGCTCCTTGCGCAGGGGCCCAGACCTGAGGTCCACAGTGCAAATTGTTCACACTTAGACGTGCCTGGCTTAGACTTTGAGACAAGCATATGACTATTGGCAGGATCAACCAGGTAGCGGGTGTGACGAGCAGCCGCAAGGAGCGATGGCCGAGGCGCACGTAGGCACGTCACGCCGGACAGCCTACCAAAAGAACGCTGAACAATCGTGGAACGTGCAATGAGCTGCCGAGACGCCGAGAAGTCCGACAATTTGAATTGCAGGTGAACTTCCCTCTGTAGGCCATCTCCAACGGCAAGGTACCGCACAATCCAACACAGCCCGCCGCACCCGCCCAAGAGATTGGCTGCGAACAGCACCCGCCCACACCACACCCAGAGATCGCAAGTTAACCACACTACGCGAACAACGGCGCGCAAGAAGGAACCACCGACAACTTCGGCCCACAGCCGGATGCCACCGCCCGCCCAAAAAATACCGACAGCGAAGTGCACAGCCTCATCTCTCCATCGAGAAACGCGGGTGAAGAGAGAAACGAATGCAGCACGCTTCCAACACGCCCGAACGGACGGAAAGCCTCCACCTGTGCACGGGGGCGCAAAAGGAACACAACCCCTCTCCCCTCTTGGGTCCACATCCGCCGGTTGCCGCGGGCACCACCAACAGCACTCGACGCAGGCGAAACCCAGGACACAGAGCACAGTAGCCTTCGAAGCCCACAACCTAAACGCAGCGGAACCACGACGCAACGCGATCCGTCACGGTGTGCAGCATACCGAGACCACACGATGGGGGACACTACGGGCACAAGCGCGCATTCCAAAAAGTGGGGCGGATGACGGGCCCAGCCTCGCGACGTCGTCGGAGGGTGCATCACGCATCCCACAAGTCTCCGCCCTCGCATACGGTAAGCAGCGTGTGCATGGCTGAGGCCAGGTGCGCCACCGCTCAATGGCGCCACTTGGATGGCGAAGAGCGCAGAGCGTCCTCACCAAGTCGTGACACCCCCTCAACACAAACGGAAAGCACCGTTGTGAGTGCGGACACGAAGACGACACCACAACAGAGCCGCAACACATCATCCCGTAAGCTACGGGATGATGGTGCCGAAAATGAGAGCCGGTGACGGGCACCTCCGCCTCCACACCCTGCAAACRACCGCCAACCGGACCGCCGTCGGCGATCAGCCGCCAATCATCGCAAGACGATGAGCGAGGCAGAACGCAACGATCCACAACCCGGCTACACGGCATAGGAAAGCCCCGACAGCCGCGACCGCCACCAACGACGACCGAGCTGTCGTGAAATAAGCCCTCCGAGAGAGACGACCATGGACCCGAACGGCGCCGCAGAAATGTTCTCTCGACCACCAAAGCACGACTCGCCCGTCCCTCGCAAACTGGAAACCACCCAAAGCGTGTGCAGAGAGTCCCCCGTAACTCGAGTACAAGGTCCCAAAACCCACGCCC